CCATCCATCCATCCATCCATCCATCCATCCATCCATCCATCCATCCATCCATCCATCCATCCATCAGTGTATGAATGTGATCTAAAGCCCGGAACAGACTCTACAGAATGATTTCGTACTAAAGTCTGCATGAATGTGTGCAGATGGGTCARYGAGGACACAGATTGTGCTGTAAAAAGCTTTGAGTTGTCTGGTTGGACTAAGTACAGTCTATATTTATGAAGAGTTACCTTTAAATTTGGTTTCATGAAGAATATTTTGCCCAGAAAGTGTATTATTAACCTGACATCATTTTCTGTGAGTTTATCATCCCCTCCTCAATCGTGTGTTGTGTTTGTTTGGTACGCTACGTTGTGTGAGTKTGTGTAATTTTTATAGTTTTCTCTGTGTTGGTCTTGTGGTTCTCAAACTGGGGTCCCAGGACCCCCAGGGGTCCATGAGAGGTATCTTGGGGGTCCTCAAAAAATTTCACTAAATTGTTAATTTGGTTTTTATTTTAAAAAATGCATGGAGAACAATGAACTAATAAAACAAACATAAAAAATGCAATAAAAATATATATTCCCATGGCGTTTAGGGGTTGAAATGACAATAAATTATTTTTAAAACAGCATGGGGAATTTCTTTTGCCCTTGTAAGGGGTCCCCAGACCCAAATGGCTTGAGAACCCCACTGACCTGTTCAAGGTGGACCCACTGACAGACGTGCTGGTATTAAAATAATCTCAGAAAGATCATCTGATTGTATTTAAAGGTTTAAACGTAATAGAAGAACATTTGTAATGAATGGTAATAATGACAACTGTAAATACTGAGAAGTTGTAAAATAAAGGTGTTTCTTGTCTTTTAAAAATCTCATATAAAGAAACTAATGTCTACTGGTAGGATGAAAAAAATCCCTTCTAGTCGCACTGTATACATTAAAAAAACAGTTTAGTAAATGAATAATAGTCCCACGTGACAAAGAATTATTCATGTAGAAATAAAGTAAAAGGTCRAAGTACAACAACTCAATGAGCTAAATGCTGCAACCACAAACACACTGTAGATGTGTAGTGGGAAAAGTTTAACATTCACATCATTACAGTGTTAGAAATAAAGTATTAAGTTACTGAAAATGATTCTACGTAAAAGAGACAAAATGAAAGAAAAGATTAGTAAGTTGATATGATTTACAGAAAGTGTGCAATAATTGGTTAAACTAAATTAGACAGGTGCATAAATTTGGGCACCAAAAAAACCCTTAAGTCAATATTTAGTAGGTCCTCCTTTCACAGAAATAACAGCCTCTAAACACTTCCTACAGCTTCTAATGAGAGTCTGGATTGTGTCTGAAGGTATTTTAGACCATTCTTCTTTACAAAACATCTCTAGTTCATTCAGGTTTGATGGTTTCCATTTTGAAAGATTTTGAAATTAATAAAATGACAACAGTGTCTAAGTTTATGCACCTGTCTAATTTGGTTTAACCAATTATTGCACACTTTCTGTAAATCACATCAACTTCATTTCAC